AAGTATAAGACAGAACTGAAGAATCTTTGCCATCACATCAGACACTTAGTACCACATAAAGTATATGCCTGCTGAGCAGTTTAGTTAAATGTAAAGGGAGTGCTTGAGCAATAGAGAAGTCACTAAGGGATGCTGTATGAAATCAGTGATAAGCTCTATATTGTTCCTAGAACTCTCCTATCTAGCCTTGTTTATAGATGGTGTAAAGGTATGAGAAACATACAAACTGAAGAGAGAAGAAGGCTGCAGGATAAGCTAGAGTGACTTTAGTAATAGTGAAATAAATAGTACCTATGTTAGAATTTTTGAACAGCTAAGGGAAAGTTATGAACCTGAAATATTGGGAAAGATTATCTAGGATAAGAGTACCATCTGGAAGGAAAAATTGCACAGAAATACTGTAAGAAAAGGCCTTGGGATAACCATTACCTAACTTACCCTTACAAGCACGTGAGTCAGTTACCAGTAATAATACAGGCTAGCCTTGCGAACAGGTGACGTAGGAACCTTGACAAAATTTTGTTCAAAACTCTGTTGACATTGTATGGAAGTTGCATGAGTATGCAGCACTTATGGAATCTGTATCTAGTAATATAGAAGATGGAACTAGAAATGCAAGTGAAAGCATTAAGATTGGCACCTGAGTTTAGGGAAATAGCCTGTAAGAAAGGCTGCAAGAAATAGGCCTGTCTTTGGAAGAAAAGCAAAAGGGGATAGGATTACAACATATAAAATGCTATGGGGCATACACAAGAATAAATGCTATCACAAATGTAACAAGTACAGGTGAGCATAATGGGTAATTATACACTCAAATTAGCCACTGGGATATTGGCAGACATCTTCAGCATAGTGGTAAAGAGGTGGTATGAGCTGAATGACAGTAGAAGCAAACACCATACAAGAGCTAAAAAAAAAAATAGGTACAGTTTGTCAAGTTACGTTCGAGAGCAAAAACTTGCTCTCCATATACTAGTAGGTAACATAATCAGTTTTTATATTATACAAAACTGAAATTTTTTACAGGTATAATTCAACACTGGACACGGAAGATGCAAAGTATGCTTGTGTAGCTGCAAATAGCTGCACATGCGTACAACTTTTCCCCTATCCCCCACTCATACACTGATGCTGGCCACAAAGTGTAAATGTAGAGCATTTAGACCCAGTAGCTACTGTTAGAACTCAGGTTAATTTACTTGACTTCTAAAGTTGAGAGGCTCAGAATTTCAAATATATTTTTATTTGTTCACATTATAAAGAAGTTAAGTGGAAGTCATAATTTTTTTTATCTTTCTCTTTTGAAAATAAGGTAAGGTTGTATAATGTCATTGTTGCTGTTGAGGAAAGGAAATAAGTGAAAATTAAAAGATCTTTGGAATCGTACAAATAATGATCTTCAGTTAATAAGGGAAGGTGTGCACTGTGCTTTGTAAAAAATTTGTTGTGTATTATAAGATAGGTTTCATATTTTGTCTTAATAAATATCAGACTACATGCACATGAGAGCAATGTCACACACAGTAGTGAGGTTGCTTATTCATTACCTTTTGTTCACATGGAGCATGCCTTGCACTACACAGTACAGTATAGAAGAAACACAGTAGTTGTGTTTACACATTAGGATCTGTCTGTCATGGGCATAAGGAGTTGCATTGTGTTGGAAAAAGGTAAGGAAATTTTCCCTTTGAAGTACTTAAGAGTATTAAAATATAAGTGGGAGGATATTCTTCTGTTTGGCAATTGGACTGTTTTTTCAAAAGTGAACCTTGGAATATTAAGTAGGGTTCGAGTTCAGAAATGTGTGGTAAGGTAATTTGGATTTCTTAATGGCACTGACTGTTGCACTTACTGTTTAATAAGGATGGATGGGTTTGAGGCTGGAAATAAGTGTTATGATGCTAATAAGTTGTTTAGGAAGAAACTGCGTACGTATTGGCAAGGAGGATTTGGATGCCCCCAAATGTAAGACCAGTATTCCTTGTTAGGGCAAACAAGGCTTCAGTAAAGGGTGAGTGAAAAAACAATCAGTAGTATGCAGGTCGTCTTCAGTCAGCTGTGGAATATTTACTGCAGGAGAAGTTAAAGGAATACATATTTTCTTAATGATGTTCTTTGGCCACAGACGCTGCTCCTCCATGTGGTAGGCTGCAGTATTTCTGGACCTTCAGATTGCCATTTTAGTGACTGCTGTAGGGCTATTCACTTTCTTGTTTTACTTTCATCCTTTTGTATTTTCTTTCTCTTTCTTCTGTGTATTGTCAGTCCCATAACCCTTCTAAATTATTTCTCCCTAAAACAAGTGGTTCTTGCTTAACATTAATGATATTTATGCTAGTTTAGAATTTGTTAACAACAGTTCTGTGTTGGAAAAATGGTATGCAGAGTCATCGTAATTTTGCAGAGCTCACCGAGGAGAACAGGACGGGAGTCAAGAGTTAAAGTAGCTTAAAGGTAGAAATGTAGGAAGAATTATGAACACATTCACAGTTCTCTAGAGGAGGTATTATTTGTAAAATGAATTATATGAATGGGTCTTGTAGCCAACTGCCTCCTCTCCTTTTTCATTCCTCTCCAGTTCTTCCTCCCTTCATCCTCTGCCCTTCCCCTCCATTTTCCATTCCTCCTCTCTCTGCTCTTCTCCCAATTTTTCTACATTGTCCTCCCTCTTTGTCTACCTTCTTGTCCTCCCTTTTCCTGCATCCTTTTTCCCCCTTCCCTTTTCTCTTCTTCCCTTCCCTCTTCAATTCTTCCCATATTTCTTTCTAATTCTCTCTTCTCTTCTTCCTCCCCCTCTTCATCCTCCTTCTCTTATCACTCTTCATTATATCCCTATTGTCTCACTTTTTTAATGTTTTCATGTACCCAATATGCTAAAATCTCTCATTTTCGTACATGGTCATAAAACCTAAGAGTAGTACGGCTGTGGAAAAAAGGTGCTTTGCCTCTCAAATCTTAAAAAAAACCTGACACATTTTGAGAAAAGGCCTGAAAATTGTTTATTAAATTCACAACCATAGGCCAACCTAAACATAATCTTATGTAAAATATATAAATCTGGTACCTTTCTTTCCCACAGCTGGTGGTGTCTGGCTACTCCCTGATACTTCTTGGAATAAATACTATAATGGATTCAAATACCCTCCATTGTGTGTAATTCATCAGCACAAGAAAATAGGAGTGGTTCAAGAGACTTAATTAACCAGCCTAGTGTGGCAGTATTAATAACAATAGCAATAGTAATGGTGGCAGGTGGTAACATTGTCAACATTCATCTGCTTTCCCATATTAGTTTAATTTGTACAGATGGGATCTGTAGCATTAACTCAGATTACCAACAAATAACTTGATAATTGACTGAAAGGTATTGTTATCTTATCATAATCTTATTTCTTCATTTTCTCATTTTGTTTCATTTTCTCTTATCTGTTGTCTTTTCTTTTATCCTCTGTCCCCCTCTTGGCCCTCCATTTCTTCCCTCTCCTCTCAAACTTCCTCATGCTAACATGTTCTCAGTTTACTTGCACTCCTCTTGCTTCTTGCTTGCTCCCTTCCCTCTCTTGGTGTCTTTCTTCTCTCCTCCATCTTTCTTTAACTTCTTTACCCACACCTGTGTAACAGCATTAGCTAATTAGTTTTTCCTCGCAGGCAACTATATGGCAGACTGTAAGGTCTTTTGTGTCTTTACTGGTTACTCTCCTATTCCCTTTTCTCTTTTTTTTTTTTTTACCTCCTTTCCCCTCCTTTCTTCCCCTCTTTCCTTTCCTCCCTTTTTCATTTCCCAGTCTCCCTCTCCATTCCTTTCTCTCCCCCTCCATTCTTTCCTTCTCCTCCTCCCCTTACCTCTTCCCCTCCCCTCCCCCTCCCTCTCCCTCTCACCCTCACCCCATTTCTCTTGGTTTCAATATTGGAGGATTAAGGCTTGCTATTTTGGACAAAGAAATCCTCTTTTGATTTTTTTTTTTTTTTTTTTTTTTTTTAGCAAGGTAAGGTATTGTATAAGGAGAATGTGCAAATACTGTATTGTTACCAGAGTTTCCAGAAAGTTTTAATTAGGAAGTTAGTCTTTTAAGCTGTGAATTTTCTATACATTTTCCTAAATGCTCTTTCCTTCTATTGTAAAAAAAAAATTCTGTCCAAGGGATTTTTAATGACTACATATCCATTCCAATTCAGAGCTGTTATGTATCTCATTGCAAAATATTTGAAGATAAGGTATTTTCTAAACACCCGAGTTTCAACTGTGTAATACATGAACACCTTTTTACCTTCCTAAATCCAGCTTTCTTTGTTTCATTAGGTTATGATGTTGACATGGAAATGAGAGGCCCCATCTCCTTACAGGCCCTTAGTCCCTTCATTCCTTGTTAAAGTCAACCACCTTGCCTTTACTGCAGAAGCCTCCATTTCTTGATCAGACAAGCCTCTAGATTCACTAAAGAAATCAACTTAATAAATCATAAATCTTATATGAGTCTCCCTCCATTGCTCTACCAAGAGCCCAGGAACCAATCGTTTGGCCTAAATAGTAGGGAGATTCCCCTTTTGTCTAAATTTGCTGTGGCTACAATCTAAGACTTTCAGTAAATTATGGATATGGTTTGGACTGCAGCTGATGAATTTTGAATTGTTTATTTTGTGAATATACCTATAATATGACCATAAATTAATCATTATATCAGATTTTTTAGTTGAAAATTGGTAATGATGCGGCATATAAAGAATGTTTGTTATTTTGCTTTAGAAGCACTGCATAACCACATGGTTCTAGTGCTTAATAAATGCTGAACTTCAACTATTGCTCTACTGCTAATATTTGGGTCACTGTTAAATGAGCTTAGAAGGCTTGGTGGCCTGATACAGATACCTGTACTTGGTGCATGCCACATATGTGCAACAAATTTATCATTACTAAGTGACCTTTATTTTGCTACTGTTAGTGGTGTATAGTTGGTCATGTTAAGTGAAAGGTCAGATGCCATTTTAAGAAAATTTCCAAGTTCTAGGATGAACTTCAGGCCAGAAGGTAGCCGAAGGAAGAATGCTTATATGGAGTAACAGCCCGGACAAGATTTCTCCAGGTTAGTTCCCCATTATTACTGAGGATAGGGAGCTGTGTTTGTAAATTACTGTACTTTGATTTAGCTGCATAATGATGGTGGAAGGTGATTGGAAAATGCTGAATAATGATGAAGCAGTTTCAATTCAGGTCAACAAAATAAAACATCACTAGTTATGTCAAGGATGGTTTGAGGATTGTAAAGGGCATTTTAAAAAAAATAGAGGACATTAAGGTATTTACAAATAGTAAATTGCTAACAGCCTGTACAGTAGAAATTTTATAATTAGATCCCCTTGTAATTCATAAGGATTCATTTAATTTTTACCTGAGTTGTTTGATGGGTTCCCTGACTTGTTTCAGCAAATTAGTATTTTTAAAAGAGCATTGGGGTGTGGTTACTTTGGTCTTAGAAGTTGCAATTTTGAGCAAGTGAGACTTGCATTTGAGATAAAATAATAATCTCCACTTCATTTCATAATTATATACCAGTAGGTAAGTAATATAACATGATTTAAAAACAAAAAAATTTAGTAATACTTTCAAAACTTATAAATATGTATTGGGTTATAAATGCTGTTCTTTTAATTGAATCCCATTTGAAATTCCAATTTAATTTTTAATTTTGATAAGGAATGCATACGTTACATCAAGTACGTATGCTGCTATGATACACCAGTACGTTGGCAGTGAATTATTGCAAATTGATGCATTATCTGACTTAATGCATAAACACATTTTATAATCAAAATTATTTTAAATTTTCTTCATCGTTAAACATTTGCCAGGGCAAAGAAACAAATTATTTGAATATCTGTATATTTTGGTAAGGGTGCCATAGACAATTTGGGAAAGTGATCAATTTGATCTCTGATCTGGTCATATTACCCACTACTACTCTCATTTTGTGGAAATGAAATATTGTTTTTAATTTGTTCTAATCTTGTGTGACAAGTTACTGGCAAGATGTGTTAATGTCTGCTAATTTTTGCAGCTCTGTAGTCATCATTTGATGTGTGCTGGTCAAGTAAGCAATGTATGGGTCATAAAACAACTATTAATAATGAGAAATTTTCTTAGCTAATGTTTTCATCTACTTAATTTATGACAAAGGAACTTTATAGTATAGTTTCTTGAAATTCAGTCAAAATGTATTGTAGGAACCTTTTATGTTAAGATTTGTTGCTTGAATATTTTTGTTTGTGGAAGCATACCATTTTTTATGCTAAATTTTTTTTCAAGATTATAATTACAGAGGCCTTAAAATGCATGATGTGATGGTATACAGAGTCTTGAGTGCATCTAAATGAGATTTTCATTACTAGTAACTTTGAAATATATACTGTGATTTTGAGCGTCTCTTGAAGTGCTATTTGCTCAATAACATGAATGTTTGTAGAGAAATTTTAATATTATGGATTGATAAGAATATGCGAGACTAACTCACTTGTGCAATATAAATTATGGCAACCTTATTTTTTTGTTAAAGCTTTTCTGCACACCACTTCGTCACCTGCAATACGGTTTATACTCTATACTTAACCCTTAACTCTATATCCTTTACTTTTTATCTGTGTGCTTTCGTTTTCTGTTTAATTTGTTGATGCATTTCTACATTCTAATGTGCCAGCAAGTGGACCCAAATTCATCTAAATGACATCCAAATCACCATTTTTTAATGTGATTTTCAAGTACAGGGGTCCCTAGCTTACAAACATCTGTACTTACAAACGAAGTCCATTAAAAGAATATTAAGAATTGTTTTAAAAATGCTAATTCACAGGCGTGTATATGTGCAATGGAACCATCCTTCGTACTTTAGTTTTCTGCAGGATAATTTTAGAGTTGTAAATAACGTCTTTGTAAGTTGAAGCTCCACAATAACAACCTGTTCACTAGTGGGGCTCCCAGTATTGCTGTTAGATGTTAGGTTGGGATCCCCATTACTCACGAAATCGTAATGACACGATTACAAACAAACCATACCACGGGTGGGGATAGAACTTGCGGGTTCTATTCACGCCTGTAGTATAGTTTGGGATCCCTGTATTGTTGAATGTTTGGGATCACCAGTATTGCTGTTAGATGTTCACAAGTATGGAGATAAAGTATAGCTAACATGAATGATTGGAAAGGTTGTAAATGTTGTTAGTTTGAAGTTTCAGGAAGAGGCATACAGTACATACATAAAGGGAAATACATAGTTTTTTACTTTGAGGGTGATATGAAACAAGGTAATTAATGCTTCACTTTCAGTTTGGTTTGGTTTTTGTCTTTAAAGCCACTTTCTTTTACTGTGCATAATAATGAGAACAGAAAGATGAAATTTTGTTGGTGGAAAAATGTTAATATTTAAAAGATAAATAATAAAACTAGGTAGTATAATTTTAAATATCTTTTATAATCAATTTGAGATTACAGTACAAATATTTTCTTTAATGCAACTTCCATATTTTTTTATTAATTCAGAAAATTACATATACCAGTGATTTCTCTTATTTGGAGTAGGTCGGGGTTTCTTCTGTAAAATTTAAAATTTTAGTGAATACTGTACAGTAGGGCACCACAAATCCAAGCCTTTCTGGGCCAAGGCCTTCCTGGATTATTGAATTATTAATTTTTCTTCCCCTTCTCCCCTTTCCCACAAGGTTAGTGTCTTGATGCTAGTGAAAGGGGCTCTTGATCCAGGGAACTGGAATTATCCTCCATTTGGATCAAACCTGAATGCCTCCTATTTCCCAGGTGTTATATGACCCCTATGGGTTTAGCACTTCCTCTTGATTAAAATAAACAAGACTGAATCTCAAATTAAGAGTTTTTTTTTTTTTAATGGCTGTTTCCCATCGAGGCAGGGTAACCCCAAAAAAAGAAGAAATGCTTTCATCATCACTCACTCCACTGTCTTACCAGAGGCATTATGATACTACAGTTCAAAAACTGCAACATATCTCCACCCCTCCTTCATAAATGTTACCTTGCTCACTCGCCAACAGAACATAAAGTTGTAAAAACACTTGCCTCCACTCTGTCTAACACACTCGTGCACGCAACATTCATGCATGATTTCATACACATACTCTCCTGTATGTAAATACTGTAGAAAAATTAAACCATCAACTGATTTGGTTTCATAGGATGTTTGTTTCTATTGACAAAGGGCAAAGTGTAGAGTAGATTTTAAATAATTACTGGTATAGGATCTGGAAAACTTTTCTCAGATAAGAGGCATTTTCCCAAATTTCTGGTTCCACAAGGTCTCAACATTGGATATTTCTGAAATTCCCAGAGTTTTGAAGTCTGGATTTGTGGTCTTCTTCTATTCCTCAATGAAGTGGAAATATTCTCGTATTACTGCTGCATTTGATATCGGAATTTCGGAGATTGTTCTGAATTGCTCTATGGCCCATATGGGTTTAGCACTTTATATGATAATTTGAATTTAATAGATTATGCATAATTTATCGTTTTATTTTCTGAATTTGGGAGAAATTCAAATACTATATTATAGATAATGAGAATTCTGAATAAGAACGAAATTACTGGATATAAAATCTAAATTTTTGTTTTTTTAGTCTTCATTGATCTCTCAGCTCCATATTTTGGATCTAAATATTTGCAATGACACCTTGGTTCCTCCAACCCATAACATAAATATTTTATCTAAACTTAGACTTTTGTAACAAACTGCTTATTGGATGTATTTTGCTCTTTTAAATAATCATATTCATTCATCAATTAATTTCAGACATGTGATATGGCGGGTTCCACAGCTTAGGGGTTAATTTTGAGTCGTGTGTTAATGTGTTGTTGTCAACGTATGAGTTGAAAGGCAGTGAAGAAGTCGACAGTGTGAGGCATGGTAAAGGACTACATTCAGCATGGGAGATGGTATAGCGCTCCACTTTGTGTGAGAGATGGTAATGGACACTACGTAGAGGTTAAAGCGCACACCACTTAGTGACGTGGTAGAGGAGGAGGAAGACCCTTCATGTGTTGGGAAAGATGGCAAAGAACACAATGCCACAGGAAAAGGACTTCATAGTGAGAGGTGGCAGAGGATGCTTCTTACAGAATGGGAGATGGTAAAGGTCTCAAAATACTGTCTTTCTTACTCTCCTCCTATTAGTTCCTCTTTCCTCTGCTGCTTCCTCTCCTCCCCACTTCCTTCTCTCCTTCCCCTCATCTTACCGTCTCTTACCACCTTTTAACTGCATTGTGTTCTACTTCCTCATCCTCTTTCATCCTTTTTGTACATTTTTCTTTCCTTTGTTACTTTCTCAGCCTTTGTTACTTTTTCATCCTTTACTTTCTCATGCTTTGTTACTTTCTCATCCTTTGTTACTTTCTCATCCTTTTATTACTACCTCATTGTTAACTCCTCATTTTCTCACTTCATCTTCTTACTCGTCCGCTGTCCCTTCCTCATCTTACTCGTCCTCTGTCCCTTCCTCGTCATCTTACTTGTCCTCTGTCCCTTCCTCATCCTCTTACTTCCTCATCCTCCTCTTCCTTATCCCTTTCTTCCCCATCCTCCTGGTATTTTCACATCCTCTATTTCCTCATCCTTCTTACTTCCTTAGCTTTCTCTTAATTCTTCTTACTTCTTTATCCTCCTTTTATTTCCCCATCCTTTTCCAATTTCTCATTTTCGTTACTTTTTCCTTTTCCTTCACAGTTTCCTCTCCTAAAACCACCATGTTGGCCACCATCTTGACCCTTCTTCTTTTACTCCCTCCTCCCCCTAATTCCACTCCGTCCTATCTAATCCACCCCATCCTACCTCCTAATCCACCCCATCCTACCTCCTAATCCACTCCATCCTATCTCTAACCCACTCCATCCTCTCCTAACCCACTCCATCCTATCTCCTAACCCATTCCATCCTGTTCCACACCCCCTCCATCCTTCCCCCTAACCCCTCTACCATCCTTCCCCCCCAAACCCCCTTCCATCCTTTCCCCCAACCCTCTTCCATCCTTCCCCCCAAAACCCCCTTCCATCCTTCCCCCCAAACCCCCTTCCATCCTTCCCCCCAAACCCCCTTCCATCCTTCCCCCCTAACACCCTTCCATCCTTCCCCCCCTAACACCCCTTCCATCCTTCCCCCTAACCTCTCCATCCTTCCCACCTAATCTTCCTCTATCCTTCCTCCTAACCCCCCTCCATCCTTTCCCCTAACCCCCTCTCCATCCTTCCCTTAACCCCAACTTAATTCTTTCCTCATTTTCTCCTCTGCCTCCCCAAAACACCCTTCCTCCCAACCCCCTTCCTCCCTAACCTTTCCTTTTCTTCCCCTATCTTTTTCTCCCCCTATCTTTTTCTCCCCTTATCCCTTTCTCATCTCTCACACACCCTCCTTCCTCCCTCCCCATCTAACCCTCCTCTTCATCTCTAACCCTCTGCTCCCTCAACCCCACCCTCTTCCCCTTCCCTTCTCTTGCTTTGATTTCTACCTTTACATCTCCCTTGCCTTATACCCTTCTGCCCCTCCCCCACCCTTCCCTCCCTCACCCATCCCCTCCTTCACTCAACCCATTTCCCGCTCCATTCCCTGCTACTTCTCCTCTACTTTACCCCTCTTACTCTCTCTTCCCTACTTTACCTCTCTCCTACTACCTCTCCTGTTTTACCCCTCTTCCACTACCTCCTAATTTACTCCTCTCCCACTACTTTCACCCCCTCTACTCCTTCCCCTCTATTCCCTACTACTGCCCTGCCACCACCCTCTGCCATCATTATTTTACCACTCTTTCTCATCTCCCTCTTGTCTCTCTCTTGTCCTCTCCTTCACCCTCTATCCCTTGGTTCTTACCTCCTATCCTTTGTTTTCCTCCCCATCCTCTTCCACTTATCTTCCTATCTCTTCTCTATAAAAATTAGGTTCTGTTTCATTTGATTTTATTAAAGGCTTTTCTTAGGTAAACAGTAAATTTCCTTGTATGAAGTCAGGGAATAAGGAAATAATCAAGCTTTCTGACTGATAGCAACTGTATGTTTTACTTAGTGAATATAATGCTTCCATTGTCAGCTCCTTTCACTTGGATGAAAAGATAAGAGGTGAAGACCCAGCTTTTGTTGTGACTGTTTCACTCTTTGTAGAGCTTCATCAAGGCAAGACTAGCAGAGAGTATGTAGTAATCATTTTGGATGTGTTTCTCAGCATTTGGGTGCACTCATATTACCATCACCTCTTTCAGAAAGCTCTACTGTCAGTATAGATGCATTCATTCAGTTTTATTACACCAACTTGATCCCTGTTAGCCTGTCTGTTGCATTACTTTCCCTAGCTGTTAACTCTCCTCAGCATTTTACCTCTTGTCATTATGTATGAGTTGAGCACATTTTGTAAATATAAGGAAGCAAGACTTGATAAAGCTCTGCATAGTGAAATGCTACTATACTTGTATGTATTTCATTACTGTCGGCAGTACACCTTTGTATCCTTTATCTGGGATGAAGCTTAGTGTTAACACCAAGACAGGACGACTGCTGCTTACAACAGTTTCCTTGATGCAAGAGGTGATACATGAAGTCTTTTCTTCACTTAGTTGAGATCAAACTAACACAAATTTAAGTTGTAAAAATTAATTGGTAGTTGTTGTTTAGTTATTGCTTTACATTTCTAATTTTTTTCTGATGAAATAAGAGAACAACGCAGTGGTGGGATTAAACAAAGACAGGATGTTAGTTACATTATTTACTTAGAGACGGTGATGGTTTGTGATTTCCATTATGGTAGCTTTATCCTAACAGTTTAGACACACGTGCTTAAGCTCCACACCATACCTAACACTTTTATTTTTCTCTATTTCCAACAGTATGTAGGTCTTGTAAAAAGTTCTTATGCAAGATGGCAATCACTCAAATAATAAGAATAGGCATTTTAACTTGAACAAACTAAACTACGCTTTCTGTTCTTAGTGCTATTATTTTGTTTTTCATTTTTTTTTATCTAAGCTAGTACACATTTATTTTCTTTCAGACTATATTAGATTTAGTACTATTGTAATTAGGTATGATTCCATGGCAGTTGACCATTGAAAATTCTTTTAATTTGTTGGTACATGTAAATATGAATCTCTTACATATTTGTGATTTAGCAGCTATTTCACCTTGGTATTTACTGCTAGAATGTGGTATTGAGGGCTGTCCTTAACCCTTTCAGGGTCCGTCCCGTAGATCTACGGCTTTATGTTCAGGGTCCAAACCGTAGATCTACGCCATGAGCTCAGCTCACTCTGATAAACTGTGAGTGGTACATTTGGGCCTAGATATGAGAGAATACATCTATGTGGTATGTGTGCACCACATAAAACAGATCCTGCAGCACACTGTGTATAACGAGAGAAAAAAAATTAAATCATGATTTTTCGATTAAAACAGCAACTTTGCAGTGTTTTTTCGTATGTTTTTTATAGTTGTATTTGCGATTTCTTGGTCTCATTTGATAGAATGGAAGACATATTACAGAAATAGAGATGATTTGATTGGTTTTAGCACTGGAAATGGCTTGAAACTGAGCTCAAAGTAGCAGAAATGTTAAATTTTTGCTGATATTCAGAGTAAACAAACGACCTCACACGTCTAATACACGTCAGCTGGTGGGTCTAATATACATTCACAAATATGGTGATGATATTTATACAATTATTACAGTATTGCATAACAGTAAATCTTCTATTTTTTGGTGTGAATAAAAATTCATTATGTGAATAAAAATCAAAATGGAATTTATTTTGTAAAGCCTCAAAACATAACTAATGAACAGAGGAAATGTTATTTTTAATGCCAGGAATGCCTACATTGTTCATTCTGGACCCTATTTTGAAATTGGAATATTTTGAACTTTGTGTTAAATTGGCCAAATTAACAATTTCCGATCACTTTATTTTGTAGTTGAAACAGTTGACTTGGCGATTTCTTGTGCTCAATCGATAGAATAGAAGTAATTACTAATGAAAATAGCTAAGAATTTGGTTGATTGGAATAATGTAATTGGCCTAAAATGGGAGTCAAAGTCGGCAAAATCGCCGATTCGTAAATATCGCTGACACATCAAAATTTGCGAGAGCATAATTTCGTCAATTTTCCACCAAATTTCGTACTTTTTGTTTTATCACCTTCACAAAAAGATTCTCTACGATTTCATAAGAAAAAATAACAAATTTTTTTTTTGAAAATTCTTGGACACTGGTGCGTGACTCCAGATTTGGGCCTTGGACCCTGAAAGGGTTAAATATGAAATAATTTTGGTAAAGGAAGTAGATCTTCTTGATGATGATATTTCACACGTCTCCAGTTGATAATGAGACAAGAGAGTGGAATATTAAAATCTTCTTATTTGATGTGTTTTAAAAGAATTTCAGAAATATTGTTAGTAGGGGTTGATTAAGAAACATTATAATTACATAAAACAAATTGGAAGCTACAATAGGTATAAATTATTGAATGATATAGTTTGTAGAGATGCTGGTGTGAGGTGAGAGTATGGCAAGAGTAAGTGGTTTTTGAATGGTATCTTATGATATAGCAGCAGCATAATTTCACATGTGCTGTGCAGGTCTCCCTTGCTTTATGCAATACTGTAGTTGGATTCCTGGTCCTTGGTGCATGAAGTGATCCCATTATAAAAGATAAATCAGGGATTCATTCTGAGATTTTACAAAGTCCACATTTCCTGACTATTATTTACCAAAAATTTGAGCTAACCATGTTTTCACCAAGTGGTCATATACAAATTAAGAAATGAGGGGAAATAAGATTCTAATTCTTTCTCTTGAGTTTAAGCAGAAGCGTGTGGTCGCTTGCCGTGTCATTCGTGACGCTAAACACACTTGCTGGCGAGATTGTTTCCACCATCACCTCTGCTTCCTCTGAGTGCAGTCTGGAATAAAGTGCAGAAATTGAGTGGTAAATACTCTCCTGACCCGGCTCCTGTTCTGTGGGTTGCCAGTGTTGATATAGCAAACCCTCTTGATGTTGCCATTGAAATTGGCAATCATCTGGTCCGTATTTCTCAGGGGCTCCATCTATGCCCCTCGTTTCTTTCCTCAAAGTCTGCCAGAGAGTTAGCACCCTTGGA